TTCCTCCCCGCCCCCCCTGCTTCTGACTCTCACTGTGCAGGTAGCTCTAATGTAGCCCTTCTCCTATTTTTTTTTTTTTCCAGTAACTCTTGTGCTCTCCTCTGGCATGGAGCTGCCTGCCCCTGTCTTTCCAGAGCCAGTAAAGCCAGCCTAGTTTTACAGGGACCGGTGCTTTAAAGATGAGAGTTTACTGTGGGACCTGGGGAGCTGTATCTGCGTTTGGCCCCCTTCCTGGGATCACGGAGAGGTTATCCAAAGCCACGGCTCTGCAGACCCTCCCTTCTGAGCTCATATCCTCCTTGCCAGTGCAGCTCTTTCCAAATTGTCTAAAAGCACATTCCATGTCTGTGTAAAAGCACATTCCATGTCTGTCTAAAAGCACATTCCATATGTCTCCTGCCTTTTCCCAGCAGTTTAGGGTCCTCCCATTATTTTCTACATGCCGAGAGAGAAGGGCCACCAGGTAAAACATCCTGCAAGGATAACGTAGGGTCTTGCTAGGGGCACACCGGGAGAGACAAGCCAGGACCTCATTCTCAGCACCAGCTCCTCCTCTTTAGGAATCTCTTATGATCGGAGGGAAAATAAAGTGTTTCAGCTATTTTTTTTCCTCCTGCGACTGCCGTTTTGCAGAGAAATGAAGCACAAGCATGAGACAGCATTTATCATTTCCAAAGGTATTTGCTCTGATGCTGCAAAACAATGCTTAAACTCAGTGAAGATAATTCAGCCATTCTGTTATGTTCACTGCTTCTCTATATAGCTCTGTTACATTTCTATCGAAGCTCACAAAAATGTGCGTTTTAATGTCCCCAGACTGCCATATTTTGTGGGCATTCTGATATTTGGATGTGTGCTCATCCATATTCATCCTTTTTCCATCTGCAAGAAGCCCAGCAGAGCTGCCTGGCTCCGAACGACGCATCCCGCATGGAGCGGGGCCGGAGCTGCCTCCAGGGAAGAGCTGCTCTTCCTTCCCGGAGCAGGACGGTCTGCAGGGAGAGGCAATGGAACAGGGGTCATGGCACAGCCCAGCTCTCTCCTAACAGCATCCCCCCCTTCTCATTCCCTAGGCTCATTTAAAAGGATGCTCCCGGCTCCGGAGAGCAGGAGACGGGATGGGTGCAGTGTCCTCGTGCCTTGGTGACTGCAGAGCCTGCGCAGTGGCGTGTTGGGCTGGAAGGGGTCCAAGGCTGTTGTGGATGATGTTTTCTCATCCCCGAAGCGTGCTGCTCCGATGCTCTGTGCTGTTTGTTGAGAAGAAGCTCCGGGTTTTTCACCGCCGTGTCGCGCTGGTGGAGGAGCAGTGTGTTGGGAGCGTTGGTGTCGCAGCGAGGGGTGGCCTGGAGCGGTCCCGTGGACGGAGGAGGCGGCGAGCAGGGTCCCGGGCTGCCCCGTCTGCTCCACGCTGCCCGTCACTCCGTCCGTCAGCCTCTCTTCATCCTGATTTATCATCCAGCCTAACTGGGTTTCAGAGTCTCGTTTCAGCCCTGCCTTCTCCCAGGGACAGGGCGATAAATCTAGGATGCAAATGTGTTAACTCTCTGATTGCAGGCGCAGGACAGGGAAAACCTGCATTCCAGGAGGGAGAGCACAGCTGTGGGGGCAGGATTGCTGTTGTGATCTCCGGGTTTGCCGCCCGTTTTCCACCTCCCTCAAGGATAATATATCCGTGGAGCGTTAGGCAGGGGCAATGTTCAATCACAGCATCTCCTCCAGAACTGGGAACTTTTAGGGGAGAGATTGGTTTATCCCGTGTACTTGGTTCGTGGGGTGGCAGGAGGAAGGAGGAAAAAAAAAAAAACATGGAGTAGTGTTTTGATCTTGTTTGTACCGTTTCTTGTTTATGGTAGAGCACCAAATGTAGCTGAACAAAGTCAGGTTTGTGCTTTGGGCCAGTAGGATCTAAAATGTCTGAGGAGATTCTCTGATCCTGTTTAGGAATCTGCTTCAGTCCATGGAAACAAGCAGGAAGCAGCTCTCTGTGGCACTGCCAGCTCAGGCAAGCTCTCAGATCCTAGACTTCCTAAATATCAGAGCACGGTTGTCTCCAGCCCCAGGATTCCCTGGGTCTCGCTAGGAATGACGGGATAACTGGCAGATGCCTTGGAGCAGGTCTCCTTTCCCAAAATAGTGTGGGAGAGTGGGGAAGGAGGGCTGTGTTCTATACAGGTGAGCCCTGGCGTAAGTGAAGAATCCAAGGGGTTTTGCTTTACATCTAGATCCAAGAGAGGTGCTAAGGGATATCGGGGAAGAGCAGAAGAGTGCGATTTCTTTAACAAAATGAGGGTTGCACCAGGGCAAGGAAGACGCTGTTGAAGGAACGTCATGGTCTCCCAAAGACCGGTGCAGCGTTTCAAACCATGTCCCAACTGTTCAGTGAGACATCACAGCTTGTCTCTTGAAAACAGTAAGAGTTTAGACCTTAGTCCTGGATTATCACTCCTAAGACTATTAGAAGATTTAATTTCTGAAAGAAAATGTAAGAAAAAGTTCTCTGAATTCTAGTTTGTTAAGGCTGTAGAGTTCTATCTGTCGCTTAGGAAACGCGCTGGAAGCAGCCTGATCCTGCAGGACTCCGTAGCAGCAGAACACACGCGGGCAGCGAAGCCCTGGGGTCTCCCAGTGAAGGTGCCCTTGAAGCCCAGGCGCTGCCGTTGGCACCAGGGTGGAAGCAGCGTGTGGAGCCACCGGTGAGAGGGCTGCGAGATGGAAATAGGTCACTCGTTACCCTCGGCTGAGCGTGGTTGGTAGAGATTTACTGTGTGGTGTGCAGGGGAAGAGGAACAAGCTGCTGCAGTTAAATCAAGATACAGAAAGGGTTGTTTTGGGCTTCGGAGGGCACCCTGTTCCCACGCGAGAGGGGCAGGAGCAGCCTCAGTGCGTTTCCAGTTACCGCCCCTGCCTTTCCTGGGCCTCGGGGCACCCTCTCCTCTGCTCGTGGCATGCGCGGCCCTGGGGAGCGTTCCCGATGCCGTGTCACCCGGATCACAGCTCTGTGAGGTTGTCCTGCTCTACCTGATGTGACGGGCAAGGCTCTGTGCTCTGGGGAGGCATGGGCGAGCGCCGGAGCCGGGCTGCGTTCCCAGCGCGTCGCGCCGGAGCGGGGCGAGGGGAACCGTGCGCATCCCGAGCAAGGAGCTGCCTCTGTTCCCAGCCCTGAACCCTGCACCGGGCAGCTCCGCGGTGCAGCGCTCCCAGGCAGCTCCGCTGTGCTGCTGCCTTCGGGTGATGGATGTGCCGTCATCTCCCGTCCCGCGGCCGCCTCGGCGCACTGCTGGACTGGCCCTGGCACCGGGACACAGCTGGGAGCTGAGAGGCTTCCTGGGGCAGTAAGAGGTGAAATGCGGAGTGTGGATGCGTAAGTGCTCAGCGTGAATCCGGTGTTTGCAACGTGAGGAAAAGGAGGATTGTGTGAGACGAGAGCGAGGGGAAACTGCTGTGGGGGGTGAGAGATGCTGATGCCTCAGCCGAGGTTAATCTGGTCTCTCTGGGGACATCTGCTAACTGGTCTGTAACTACCACTTCCCTAAGCCTGTCCCTGGAGGTTTTCCATCCCCAGCTGCCCGTTTCCTGCAGAGCGAGTGGTGTCTCTGCCCCACGGTGAGCTCTGCTCGCGGTGCCGTGGGCTTGGCCGTGGGCACGGGTGCTGCTCTCATTTCCTTGCTGTTTTATTTACGACACTCACAGTTATCCGTAGTGGTGGTGTCAGCACTTTATTTTTTCGAATACCTGGTAATTCATGGCCGTGCTTCGATGCTCACACCGACGTGGGACAGCTCCGTGCAGGCTGCCGTGGCCCGTCCCTCGCCACCATGAGGCTGTGGCTGCTGCTGCTTGCTGCCTGGC